AAAAAACTCATTTTTAAAATAAAACATACACAACACAAATTAAATTTTTTTAAAAACTTAACAACTGTAATAAAAATGACTATAAACAAAAATTCAAAATAATTTTTTAGTATTCAATAACTTGTTGATAAAAATAACCTTCAAAAATAACTGTTTCGAAATTATATAAAACATCTTCAACACTTTTTGTTTTCTATCTTGCATTCAAACACTCAACAGATAACCGTAAAATGCTAGTTGCATTAAATTGTTTTTAATTTGAAGTACCTTAAAAAGATATGATTTTGAAGGGCAAAATCAAAACTGATGCCTTCAGAATATGGAACAGTTTAAATATTGTTATGACTTTTATTAGACAACAATTTGCATCAATACTTCTGAATAAATTCATTTTGCTCAAAACGTTTTTTGAATTTAAATTAGGTTTCTGACTTCAGCAACCAATATTTTTTTGTGAGTTGACACTGCCATTAATTTTACCAATTAAAAAGTTAACACTTGAATAGACTAATTTGTGTTTGTTTAAAATTTAGAGTTACATGCTTTAAAGATATATACAAACATAAAAATATTTGTTTTTTAATAATTTAAAAACAATTATAATTGATTTTGTTACATGATTTAAAAAAGTTTTTTAAATGTTTTTAACTTTACGTCAAACAATTAGCCTAATTATTTTTTTGTAACGCTTTTAAATCATTCAACATTGCCGCAAGGTAATTTTTTGCAATGTTAAAATAAATTTTAAGCTGAGATTGCAAACAAAAAAATGATGCAAAGCCATTATAACAAAACAATGATACAAAAATTTGCCTTTTGTTTATTTAAAAAAATTTAAAAGAATTATTTAAATATAAAGTTTTAACTAGTTTTAACTATTTTTTATCAAATGTTTTTAAAAACATTTTTATCAGCATGGAAGTCTGTGTGCAATAAAGCATTTTGAACAAAATTGCAGTATTTTATGTTTAGTTTAAGATAATGTTTATGAACTGACAATAAAACTAACTTGTCAATGCTTTCTTAAATTTGTTTAGAGTAGCGTGATATCAAACATTTTTTAACAAAAATTAAATTGATCGAAGAATATTTTAGTTCAATGATGCAAATAATGATCAATTAAAATGGCTTGTTGAACTTAGAATAAATTCTTTATTCATGACTAATTTGAGCAAAAAACTGAGTTGTCAATGCATTCAAATATAAACATTTTAGAAATATCAGTTAACTGCACTTGTTCCGAATGTTAGAATCGAATGTAAACTGATGAAAATGTAACTTTTTAATAAATCAACAACAGCTACAATTTTGCCTAAACGCTATCAAAATGTAATTGTTTTAAGTCATTTATTCATTTATTCAATGTTTTATAGAAGATAACTCAAATACTCAGAACAGCCAATTAAACTGGATTTAATTTTTTAATTTAAATGTTAATATTTAATCGCTTTTACAACTACTGTAGCTCGTTAGCATGTTTAAACTTTTCAGGCACTTTGTCTGCAAATCGTGCAAAATGAGACTTGTTCACGTTAATTTTTTTAAATTTGATGAAAAAAAGAATTAAAATTTTCAATAAACATAGTAAAAACCAATGTACATAACATTGGTTTAACTTTGTTAGTTGGTAAGTTTACTTAACTACAACTGGCCAACTGGTAACCGAAAGTTTATTTCCACTGACAACAAAGCAGTGTGACCAATTTGACATAGTATCAGGTTACAGAGGAAAATAAAACAACCGAAACTAATTTAAAATGAAAATGAATTTTAATTGAATAAAGTACGAAACAATAATTCTTTGCCTACAGTCGAACAATTTATGACAATAGAAGATTTTCAATAATTTGATTCAGTGACAGCTCTGTATTATGTCAAATGATACCTGAAAACTTATGTACATAAAAGTTCAGGCAACTACAGAACATAATCCAATTCAGTGCGAATGTAATTATTGGTTTTATCGTTGGGTGATCGCGGATATCCGGCTACCAGAGAATCTTGGGCTCCAATATACAGCGTGTTGTAAACTTTCCAATAAACATCACGGACCTTCCGAGCTGGATGAAAAAGCCCCTAAAAATAGATTTATAAATCAGTTAATAAAATATTGCCGCCATCTCATCAAATAAACTGAACTTACTTGCAATGTGTACTGCAACATTTTAATAGGGCCAAGAGATACTTTAAAACCCTCAATAGCGCCCATAAATGCCTGCACCAAATGTGGAGAAGTTTCAAATATATTCGGCCAAACAAAGTTGAGAAGGTGAGTGAGAGCGTCCTCACAACCGAAGCCGTACACGCCGAGTGCCATGTGTTGAATCACAGAGCAAGCTGTTTGACGATGAACCAAATCTCTGAAAGTGACCAGCATGTTAAGTTAGTATATTTAAGTAAGCGAAACAACACATACCTGTCCATGAGAGCGTCTTCCAAAAGAGGCGTTACAGCATAGATGTAGTCCTTGGCCATTTCGCCAATGTACTCAAAGAGGAAAGAGAGTGACTTGAGAACACCATTCTGGACGTTCAGCTCAGGAACTCGGTACTCGTTCATGAGAGCGGGCAAGACGGTAAAAGGAGAACAAGTCTCGGCGACAATAGCAATGGCTACAGTGGTGCACACTCGGTTCTGTCGTTCTTGTACACGCAGGTTGTTGAGAAGGGTAGCCAGGACATCATGAGGACCAATGGCCTTGGCAATGTATCCAAAGGTGTTCACCGCAGCACGACGAATGGCTTTTTTGTGAGCCTTCAGCAACTCGAGCAACTCAAAGCAGATACGCATCCATTCGCGTGCTGATACAAACTCTGCACCTCGATCAGCAATACGTCCAACCAAATCGATGCAGTTCTCCTGTACCTTTTCGTGTCGATTCTTCAGAATGGGCGTCAGACGAGGAAGTAGATCTTTAATAGGCGGCGTCATTTTGTCCATGCCAATAACATTGACGATTGCCTTAAGAGCTCCCAGAATGGAACCCAACACTTCAGGGTACTCCTCGCCAAGGTACTCATAAAGCACCACTCCCATATGACTCATCAGTTTCTCCTCATTGCAGGTCTTCATAACAACGGCTATCTTTGAAATCAGATCAGCCGCTTGCTGGCGAACTTTAGCAGACTTGTTGTTCAGGCGCCACAGAATAGTACCGCATATTTGAGGCAAATAAGGCTTTACGCGCTTTCCAAGTGTGCTCACAATAGTCCCGAAACCATTCAGCATGACCATATCTTCGGTTGTCTGCTCCTGAAAGGCATACAAAATGCCATCGATAAGCTGTTCTTCAAGACGGGAATCAATTTGCGAGGCACCCAAGTTGGACATGATCTTTTCAATTGTCTCCATGACCATCTTACGATACGCCTCATTTTCATCCTTTAGGTCGTCGACAATGCGAGTGATAATCTCTGCCGCTTCCACTTTGTTGGCAATCTCCACCGTAGTATCCACCAGTTGACGATAGTTGCGTCGGTCAAGAGCCATTCGATGATTCCAGAAATGACGGAAAAAGTGAGGCAACACCTCTTCTTTGATGTACTGAGGCTCGACACCGTCAGTGCCACAGCACTGCTTCACCACTTTCAAGACAATTTTCTTCATTTCTTCGTCAGGCGACTGAAACTCACGAATAAGAATAAACATAACTTCCCGCGTGTAGTAATTGGCATATTCGGCGTCCATGAGTGGAATAAGATAGCCGATGGCTTTCAGAAATGCAGCCAATCCCTTTCCTCGGTGCGTTCTGATGCCTTTCCAGAGAGGCTTCAACACCGAGTCAAATGATTCAATGCCATAGGGAGTTGCTGCTTCAGCGAGGGCAGCCAGTGCAAGAGCGGTGATAGTGCGCACTTTTTGCTGTTCGTCCACAAGGCCATGCTCGATGATCTCGACCAAACTGCGAAGGTGCGGCAAAATGGCACACCCCATGAGGATGGCAATTTGCTGAACAATTTTGATGCCAGTATGTCGGGCTTGCCATGACTTCTTACTTTTGCAGACAGCTTTGAGAAAGGGCAGGAGGGAGGGAATGCCCAGAGCCGAAGCGACAACAGCAAAAGCACGGGCTGTGGTGTTTCGCACATACTCGTCGACATTGTCAATATCGGGACGCATAGTAGAAATCATGGTAGCAAGACCAGCAGCTTTGGCCAAGTTTGAAATGATTTCACGACCCTCCACACGAGCATAGTAATCTTCGTCAATCAGCAACGGCTCAATAACGACTAGAATTTTGTGCACATAAGGTCGAACGAGGTCGTCAAGTTTGTAGAGAATTCGATCAATGACCTTCACCAGTAAATGTCGCTCTTGATCTTCCAATGTGGGGGACATTAAGAGTGGCAAAATTTGATTAAACAGTGGACCGGCTCCAAACTCGCGAGCTTTGTCTGTGATCTGACGAAGGGCGGATTTTCGCATTGGCGGAGTGCCATTCTTAATCTTCAGCAGTAGCTTCATGATTTTTCGCTCCTTCTGTTCATCAGGGCTCAGTGCTTCCTCATCAACTTCATTGAGCAGTTTGTCAAAGTACTGCAGATCATCCGGTTTAAGCGGCGGCAAATTTTGCCCCTTTGGTTCCAAATCCATCATCATTTTAGAGCCCACGCCTGTTGTACTAGTGGGATCTTCCTTTTGCATGAAGAACCCGCTACCAGCTGCGCCGACCATCGGTGTTGGAGTAGCCATAAGCTTTCTAGCTGGCGTTCGAATCGGCTGATATCCAGGAGGAGGAGCCAGAACTTTGTAACCAGGAGGGAACAGTGCGTCCAGTTCATCATCCGAGAAGGGTCGATTACGTTCGTCGATTTCACGCTCCCAGCGAAATGCTTGCGCCTGTTCAGGCGTCATGGCCACCATATGTCCGGGGGTTGGAGTGGCAAGACCCATTGCTTTGGGTCCGAGCGGAGTCGCCCCAGAAGGAGTCATCATTGGAGTTGATGTGATTGATGGCGTTGCCGAAGGTGTTTCGTCCCATCGAGATCGCCGCTTGGAGGCACTGGGCGTGTCTGAAACGGCATCATCGGAAATGCGATCCACACGAGGGGTCTCTGCCCAACTCGAAAGAGAACCAGCAGCAACTTCGCGCTCAGTTTTCGGCGTTTCATCCCAGCGATTGCGACGCTGACTGCCTCTCGCTGCAGGAGTTTCATGACCAGGCGTTGCCGCCTGACTTGGATGAATTGGAGTTGGTTCCCACTGCTGTGGAGCTTGAGGCCCTTCAGAAAAGTGGCCAGGAGTTTGATCCCAACGACCAGGAATGGCAGGAGTGGCCGCTTCATGATATGCAATCTTTTTCGCAGCCGGCTCTTCATCAGCTGGAGATGGTGCAGCATCCCAGCGTCGTCGCCTTGAAGATGAAGCAGGCGTAGAAACTGCTTTCAGCTCACCAGCTTTGGCTTTTTCGCTCAACTTTTTCTTAAGTTCAGCCTAAGAGTAATAAATAAAAAATAAAGTTAAAACTTTAAATTTAAAAAATATAAATAGATCTTACCTCTTCATTGCTGAGAGCAGTTTCTTTAATGATCGTTTTGTAAGTCCTAGCAGATGGATCTGGTGTTTTTCCGCCTAGAAAACAAAATAAAAAATAAAATAAAAACAGGTTAGTAACTTCCAAATGTAATAGCATGGTAAAGAGAAAATCAAATTATATAAAAGAGCAAAGTTTAAACAGGTTCCAGCAGTCAATTACATTCAAAGTGCCAATACTTTTTGATTCAATTAGACGGAAATTGGCTTGCGATTCTTGTTCGAGAAAAGACCAGAATTAGTCAAAGCTGGAACTTGAAGACCTGCTGGTAGTACTTACTGAAGCAAGATATCGAAAGCGATAAACGTTAAGTGGAACCAATTCTTTCTGCGCTAATCGCAAAAGAGAAAAATCAATCAAGGGGTAAAATTGCAAGTGTGCAGTCTGAAAAGTATAGTCTTTCTGTATTAGTAAATAACGACTTGGATTTTTTGACACACCCACTGTACATCAGAAAACATTATTATAAAATAATAAAAACAGCAAAATTAAATTGGGTTTTAGAGAAGAAAAATCACCGTCTCACTTAGCATGTTTTAAATGACGTCATGTCATACTAACAGCAAAAGATAGCACAAAAAAGCGTAAATTAAAAAGTCAAAATTACATACCATCAGCGAAAACATCAATACGCTCTGGAGACAATTGTCGATTTCGAAAGCGACGTCGATATTCATCTTCACGATCTGCTACTCGAGCAACTCGCTGTTCAGCTAGAGGATCATGATTCTTTATAGAAAAACAATTGTTATTTTTAAAATTACCATTTAGAAACATTGAAAAACTTACATCATCGACAACATCTTGAAGATAGTTTTTCGGAGCATTAAATGCATTGATTTGCTTCTTGTACGCACTGTATGTATCGGCCGAAGACGACTCATTGGTGTTTTCAGTGTCTTCATCCTAAAAACAAAAACCCAAATTAGTTATTGGATACCATATTGTGTTGTTTCACTTACGTCATAGTCGGCATCGTCATTGGCCGGAATGGAGCTGTGATACTCATTGCTTCTTCGGCCATCACCGTAAATATCACTGTCCATATTAGCCTTGGAAAGAGATATCCGGCCTTCATCATCGTCACCGTCACCATTAGCTGCATTTTGAGCAGCTTTCTTCTGGAACTCCAAAACTTGCTGCTCAATTTCTACAAATACAAAGTAATAGACCAAATTGAAGTAATCAGTGCAATCAACGGCAAACTTTAACTTACCTTCCCGCGTTTTAGCTGGCTGAGACATGCTGAAACATGCAATCAGCTAGGTATTTGATGGTAAAACACGAAGATTTGATTATGATGTAACAATTCGAGTGCTAATTGGTAAACAATCAGGTCGGCGAGTCGCTGTTATGAGCCACGATTTGAGAGCAGATTTTCTTAAAATACCTTTGGTGTCGACATAGCCTCTCAATCCGTGAGGTGTAAATAGGTTACTCTTTGCACATTTTAAGCGGCATTTTTGACTTCTTAAAAATTACAAATCACACTTAATTTCACCAAAAAGCATCAATTTTATTATTTGCAAAAGAATATTTATATCAAAATAAGCAACTGAGTACGATATATTAGACATTAGTAGTAGTGTAATAGTTCTGCATCATAAATGGGGCATAATAAAATAAGTTTTGACAGAAAGAGAAAAAAATACAAGGAAATTGTTTTGAAAGAAAAAAAACAAAATGAAAACAGTCAAGCAATTGGGTACAAATTGTGCTATATTGAAACAATGACGGAAAAGCAGCTAAGCAGTTTTTTAACTTTCTTTGCACAGAAAAGTGCTTTGTACGATTAAGTAACCCGTTTGGTAAATTTTCAAGCAAATGTGTAATTTTAGTTCATTAGTTAATCAGTGGTGAGAGAATTTGACAAAAGAAGTTGATTATACAATTTAGTCAAACAAGAAAATAAAGGGATTATTTGATGAAAAGTAGGCATAGAGATTAGTGACAGTGGTCAGCAGGAAAAGTCGGTTTTTGTACAAGAGTGCTGTGAGAGATATGCGTGTTCGTTCGTCACCTTGGCCATACATTGCGCGCACAACAGAATTCAGGCTATACACATACATACAGGAGAAGTAAAATACAGGTGTGGAATACATACATACAGAAATACATACAGGGTAGTTACATACAGTTCAGTTGTGGTGGACTTCACTCCAGAGGACCCAGTTTTTGCCTACTGACTCTGACAAACACTTTCACAAGTGATCGCCAGTTTGAGTGCGAATCCAGAAAAGAGGTGTGGATGAAGGTTTCGAAAAAAGGAAAATTTAGTCGAGTAGTTGTTTCTTTGTTCGTCCATTTCAGTCGACTCCCGTGGGTAGTGAAAAATTGTCGTTTAGGATTTGCTTTCTCTTTTCTCTCAAAACCTTGATTTGGAAGCTTGTCGTGCTCGTGGACATATACAAAGAACATACACTATACAGGCAGCAAAAGGTAGCTACAAATTACAAGGTTGAATGAGAGAAGAAAGTGAAAGAGTGTGTTTGTGTGTGTGGATGTTAGATCACAAAATTATTTGAATGTTTGCGACAGAAGGGATGCTATCGACTTAGTTGGTCAAACGAAGAAAGCTGAGAGGTAAAGTCGATGAAAAGTGTTATGTTACAATTTTTAAATTCTGTCAGAAATGAAAAAGTTTACGAGCAATTTGGAAGATGTGATAAGAATAAAAGAAAAANTGTGTGGATGTTAGATCACAAAATTATTTGAATGTTTGCGACAGAAGGGATGCTATCGACTTAGGTGGTCAAACGAAGAAAGCTGAGAGGTAAAGTCGATGAAAAGTGTTATGTTACAATTTTTAAATTCTGTCAGAAATGAAAAAGTTTACGAGCAATTTGGAAGATGTGATAAGAATAAAAGAAAAAAGTATTCACAAGATTTACATAAATAAATAGATAATGTACATTGAAACAAAAAGAATTTAGAGAAATTATAATCAAGAAAGTCAACCGGAGCTAACAATTTGAGAAAGCATAAATTACTTGTAAGCAAAACTTATTGCTATGTTTGGAAGAAAGAGAGATAGAGAGGAAGACCTAAAGTGTCGGAAGACTATTGTAATTTGGTTGGCAGCAAATTCTGGATTCAAGCCAGAGAAGGAGGTCCACACGCGCGTTCTCCACACACAACGAATGGCCTAACACACTGATCATCACAGGCTGATCAGAGATCACTGAATCTCTCGCAGTACATAAATATATTTAATTTGGAAACGTTCTCTCTTTCAAGTCTAAACGACAGTGTTTAAAAAAATATATGGTATATAGACATCTATGAACAAACGAATATTTATATGTAGTCGACTTGGTGGCGACAAGTGCAAAGCTTTTTCAGAAAAAATCAGTGATGTTTTTAAAGGGCAAAGATGAACATGCTCACTTCAAAGTCTGAAAGTTTAAACAAACACACATAGGAGAGAAAGGCAACTGTTTATAAAGGGATAGGTAGCCCACACCTGAACTAATTAATTTTAAAGAAAAGAAACTGATTTTTTCACTGAAAATGAGATTAAAGATCGAAGACTTAAAATAGTTTGTGGAAGAACTTGAAATCAACACGCACTAATGAGAATAAAACGATAAAAGGTAAATGGTAGAACTTGGAAGCAAAAAATTTGTCTCACAGTTGTTTTCAAAGTTGAAATACGAATGAAGTGTTAAAATCTCTAACAGCAGTCGGTAAAGAAGATATCGCAAGTAAAAAGAAGCAAATGGAGTCAAATCGGAGTTTGGCGAAATGCCAATGTTTCAACTTTGCCTCCTTCTCAAAGTTTAAGGAAGAGGTGTGTTGGGTAGGGTAATTTAGGTAATGTGCAGTGAAAGTAGCAGACTGGAATAAATCGCCGTCTGTGCAGTTTGATTTGGGTCGTAGGTGTGCGAGTTGTAAATAGTTGAGCTTAAATATTGAATCAACCAACAAAGTTATCACTGATTTTAAGAGCAATCTGAAAAAAGTCTGGTGAGAAGAGAAAGTCTAGAGGGCTATAATTCAGTCTATTTCATGCATAAGTAAATGGTGTCGAATATATAAAGATATAGTGTAGTTAAGAAGAAAAAATATATAAAATGAAGTATCTGCATCGAAAATGTACAAGCACTAAATAAATAGGAAAAATGAAGCTATCTACAAGCCCGAGTTCGGGTGTTTAAAGAAATAAGCAAAAAAGGTTCCCAGGAGGGTGGTCCTAAGAATAAAAGATAAAGGAAATGAGTATGCGTGTCGAAAAATGTTAGGTGTGTTTGTTTGCTTGTTTTGTGTGTAGAGAATTGTGATCAAACTATATAGAAAGATGCTTAAAAAGACCTCCCAAAAAAAAGTTGAACCGTTTGCTTGTCAGTGAAAATGGAGACGTCCAAGATCCGTATGTACATCAGTGATGTTGTCGATGCTTTGAAAACATGATCGTCCACTTGGACGGGGGAGGGAAGGGTGAGTGGTTCGACTTACAACAACTAGTTGACTTCTTCGCCAATCACCACCTGTCCATTGGCGCCATTCACTTGAATGGGACTGGTGCCGTTAGTGGTGGGCACGGCTCCATTCACGACGACAGTGCCGTTGCTTGCTGAAGTCAGCGTATTAACACCGACGGTGGCTGCAACAGTAGCGGCGAGAGCACTGGAATCACTGGGAGACACTGATGCGGCGACTGGACTGTTTCCGCCATTACTGACCACCGAAACATTCGCCGCTGTCGCTGATGCAGAGCTGGCTGATTTAGAGCTGGTGTTCATGTACTTTTCCAGCTTCGCTAAGATGTGCTTCCCGTAAGTGAAGCGTCGTAGAGAGTTCATGTGAGGTCGGATGCGCAGTAGAAGCGTCTTTCTTTGCTGAGAGTCGGCCACTTCAATCATCTTCTGAACAACGTAATTGGCATACTGATCTTTCATCATCGTGTAAAGTGCACTAAAGAGGAATGAAAATTCATCGTTAGGAAGCTTCATCGTCAAAGTTGTCAGCATTCTACTCACTTGTCATTATAATTGCACACTTCATCAATGAGTACGGCTCGTTCAGAGCGCATTGCCTGTGTAATGCACCGTTCAACCACGTTGCTGTAGAGAGAATTAGCGCGGCAATTAATTTAAATGGTATTCTAAGAAGAGCAATGCTCAGAAGCTTACCTAGCAAACTTGTGCTGTGACAAGTTCAACACCTTCCCGCGAACCATCAGGATGATCTTGCTCTTGTCCTCTGGCCGTCCATGCTCTAGCACATGCTGAACTACATAGTTACCGTACTGATCTTGAACGAGCTGCTCAGTGTTGACATGCAGCTCCGATAGGATGCACGATGTCTGCTCAGGATTGCAGTGCTCCAAAATGCGCTGTATCACTCGACAGCCATAAGGATGGGTGGAAAGCGAGAGCACCTTTTATAGTGGACAAATGCGAGTATAATGGTTACTGAAATACAAATATCAGTTGGGCTCTGTGCACACATACCTGTCCTTGAAAAGCACTAATGATAAACTGTAGGGCAGCCGGCTCAATGCACTCGATGCACTTTTGCACCACGTGGTTGCCATTCTGATCTTTCACGCACTTCAAGACGTGGCCATCCAGTTCCTTCACAATTTCCTTTTGCTGGTCTGAGGGAATCGATTCGAGCGCCTTCTGAATCACCCTGCAGCCGTACATTTGCAGCGCCAGGTTGAGTACGTTTCCTCGAATGGTTTGCGCTAAAGCTTGCTTCTGTGGAGCCGTGCCAAACTCGAAAAACTTCTGAATGACATAATTGCCAAAAACGTCAGTCATTAGTTGGTAAGCTTGGGTGATTATCTCATTAAACACCAGCTGCTTTTCATCGTCACTAGCACGTTCCAGCTTTTGTTGAATGAAGCGAGAGCCGTGTTGATCTTGAGAGAACTCAACAATGTGGTCGGTCAAGTCTCGCAAAGCCAGATTGGGCAGACGGGAGTTTCGAAAGTCTTCCAGCAAAGTAGAGCGACCCACATTTTTCTCAACAGATCGTCTAATCGGGAAATCGAAAGATTAAAAACCGTGGTCTCTCTTTGGCTACCACCCCCAACTTACGTTCGTTGCGTGCTAGTGCGATTGCTGCTATTGCTGGAGTAGTTGTTGCTCGTTTGGTTGTTCACCTGTTGCATGCCATTGGGATGATTAAAGTGCATGCCAGCTTGATTGTTCATTACTTGGGAGGAGGCAGTGCCAAAGTTGCCTATGCCGGCGGCAAAAGCGGCATTCTGGCTGATGATGCCATTGCGAGCCATGTACTTGCCCTCCGAGCCAGGATTCATTAGGCGCATTCCATTCATGTACAGCGAGTTGTTAGGCCCAGTCAGTGCATTGGCAAACCCATTCATGGAAGCTTCCATGGAGTTCATCGGGGGCGGTGTCATGCTTTGCCCTGTCATGCCTGCCATGCCCATCGGCCCGGGTGAGTTGATTCCCATGCCGTAAAACTGTGCGTTCGCCAGGTTGTTGTTCAGTCCAGGCTTTCCCGAGACAGCATTGTTCAGCGTACTGGCAGCCATATGTCGGGAGAAGGCGTTCATGTTGCTTTCGTTGATCATGTTGGGGAAGACACCGCCAAGGCCGACGGCACTTGCGTTTCGACCATCCATCGAGTCACGACGAGGAGAGTTTGTTCCTCCGAGGGCGTTGTTCGCCATTCCCGACTGAAGCGAAGCGCCAATTGGACCGAGAGCTAAAAGGGAGACGACACAAACGACATGGTAGTTGAATTTAAGTGCACCTTCAAAATATTTACCTGGATTGTGGAAACCCATTTGCTGTGGGCCAAGTGCTTGAGGCCCTGTGGGATGGCCGTTGGCTGAGAAGATACCCGATGGCATGTTGTTGTACCCCAGAGCAGAGTTTCCCGAAGTGTACATTGCGTTGGCGTTGGCATTGTTGGGCCCATTGCCTGCAAAGAGCGGATTGGCTTGGGTGTGTGAGGGGCCAGCAGCTTGGTTGGCGGCATTCTGCAGCATTCGCAAGTTGCCGCTGCCGATTGCCGCCGCCGGGTTCTGTAGCATGTTCATCTGCGGCGGCATCATCCGGTGCATCGCCGAGGGAGGCATTCCCCGGCCAGCAGCAGCCAGGGCGGAAAGACTGTTCTGGTCGGCGTAGAAGCCAGAGGGTGCGCCAGGCATTGGAATCATTGGGAATCCCGTCTGGCCAGCCTGTGCGGCGGCGGCTTGTGCTTGTATGGCAGCCAGTGCTTGCGAGCTAGCCGAGTTGTGGTCATTGCCACCCGTGGGCGACATTGGCCGACCGGAGGAGTTTTGAGGGTTGTTTCCCCCTCGAACCTGCTGCATCGACGGCGGGTGGCCAGACTGGTTGGGAAGCTGCCCTCCAGCCGTGGTGGCGTTCGGCATCAGTCCGGGGTACATGTTCCAGGGTGGAAAGCCGTAGTACTGCGAAGCCATTGCCATGGCAGCAGGCCCAGGCGCACCTGTGGCAAGCATGTGACTCATGAAGGGATCGGAAAAGTAGTGGTTTGGAGCGCTTTGGGTGGCAGCTGGGAAGATGTTGGTGTTGCCCGCTGGGGGTGCATTTGGATGGCCGAGGGCAGGGGCAGCACCATTGGGTGGAAGATTCTGCTGAGCAGTCATGCTCAGGTGCTGCTGCTGCTGCTGCTGGCTGGCCAGCAGAGAAAGCTGATTGTTCGCAGCCTGCTGACCAGCAGAGTTGGGTCCAGAGGCTGCCGCACGCTGCTGTTGTTGGTAGAGGTTGTTGGTGTAGGCCTCCATCAAGTTGGGAGAGTCATTTGCAGAGGGCAATAGGTGATTGACGTAGTCACTATTGCCAAACGGTGGTAGTGCGTCGATGGCGGATATTGCTCCAGAAGTTAGCTGATCAGAGTTGAAGTCGGAGAATGGCGGCGGGTGACCAGGCATTATCATGCCATCAATTACTGATGTTTTGTTGTTGCTGATTATAGGAGCACTTTCGTCAATTTGATGCGGAATTCCCGGGGCTCGGTTGAAAATTTTAGTAGGATCAATGCCATCTTCATTCGGCCCAAATCCGTTAGTGGCGCCATTTGTTGTTGGGTGCGATGAGTTGGGCGTGTCCTTTTCCACCTTTCCGCCTCGTGTGCTCTGTGAAACCTTGTCGTGATCGCGCAACAACCTCGAGTGCAATCGAGATTCGAGATTTTCCTTTGAAGAAGGTGAGTTGTTTAGCAGAGACTCGGCCATTTTCATGCCAATGAAGCCGGTGTCATTTGAACGAGGTGACAGTAGAACTCCATCAGCGCTGTAGTTGCTGTTGTTGGCATTTCCACGCTTAACCATAATGGGCTGTGAGACGGCGTGATCTGAGAGACCGCCGTTTTCATTCGTAGCATTGCCTGACCCAGGTGCCGAGCTCCAGGTGGAGTCACGCCCCCACTGGTGCGAATCGCTGATAAAGAGAGGCTTAGCATCGTCGACGTGTTTGTCCTCCACGCCCCAGATCTTCTTTGTGGACGCAAAGCCTTCCGGTTCAATTGAGAGTGCGTTAAAGCCTGCCTCCAGCTCTTGTGTGTCAGGAGCTCCATTACTCTGCATTGAGGAGGCAATAGCATGCAATTATGAGACTACCGCTCTTGACAGCTAAGAAGACAGAAATGTCACACTTACATCTATTAGATTGGCATCTTCATTGCCGAACCATCGAGACGATTTGGGGTAGGGTTGATACTCGGCGTCATTGGGCCTTTGAAATACGTACGAGACCATGGCATCGTCTTGCGTGCTTCGGCTGGCATTTTGGCTCTGAGGAGACGTTTGAGGGTCGTTGGTTGAATTGGTGGAATTTGCTGAAGCGGCTGGTTTAGCGGCCACGGTGGCCGGACTTTGATGATTTACCTCATTTGACACCATTTTTGTTTGACCATTGAGTCTCTGAGACTCCCCAGCTGAGACTGCCTCAGCCTGAGAATAGACAACGACAGCCACCAACTCGCCTTCACAGCTGCTGCTTGGGTGGGAATAGGTGACGGAAAGCAGAAGGCGGAGCTTGGCGCTCAGCGCCCACTGCCAGTGGGCCACTGGCACCTGCTCTCTGGTCCGCTCGCCGCTCACTACATGTGCTCGCATTCCATTCACTACCCTTTCCCTGACCTTTCCCGGTCTCCTCGGGCTTCCAGTGAATGCCACCGGGCGTTCGGGAGTCCGCCGACACTCAGTCCCCACCACACTCGGGGGCAGCCAGCGGTATTCTGCCGCCCACGAGTGTGTATGTGCTCTTCAATGCTGCCACTGGCAAAGACACTGTCTGCGCAAGAGAGGGGAAGCGATGGAGAGGGAGAGAGCGAGCACTTGAGCAGAATAAGTACGAGTGCGCTCGCCCAAACCCTTACGCAAAGGTGAGAAGGCACCTTCTTCTCTTGCCTGCCGCACCTGTCCACTGCTGCTGCTGCTGACGACGGTGGTGATGAAGAGAGCGCCGGACAGGTTGCCACGGCTGCAACAATGCATGCTCCTCTGCCACTGGCACCTGAAAACTGTGCTTCAGAGTGTGACCAAGGGTAGAATCGAAGAGTTCGAAATGCGACGCCGCGCACTGTTGCTGCAATGTGACAGGTTGCAAGCAGGCGGCTGACGTCGCCACAACACCGCACCACTTGATTGTTGTCTGGTGCCCATCTTATCAAACGGTGGTGGAAACAAAGAGAAGGGACTGAATGACTGGAAATGTACTTTTACTTCGGATTCTGGAAAGTTTATGGTTGTACATTTATTGGCGGTCAGAAGTTGACTCAAACAATCTTATATGAGACTAACAGGTCTTTAGTGCAGAGGCTACAGAAATGGTTAAAACAAAGGGCGACGAGTTCACTTCATTTTGGAATATAAATAGCCCAGCTTCAAGGGGCTTTGTGTTGGAGTTGAAATGAGCCATCATTACATCTGTTAATCAGTTAGCCGTTCGTATGCACAACTGGTAAAAACTAGGATAGAGATATTACATTTAGGACACCGGGGCCGAAGTGGCAGGTGGCGTCTGCTTCACTTGCAGAAGGATGGAACGCATTCTAGAAGTGTCCTTGGTGTTTCTTGATGTTTTAGGGTTAAAATCACACAAACGTGTAATCTTCTCCCAGTCTTGGGCGCCAGAATCTGTGTCGCGTTCGGCAATCCACTCTTTTTCGGCATTCCTAAAACAAAAACAAATGTTAGTAAAGGCAATCGAAAAGGTAACGGACTAAACATAAAAAGAAACATGCAGAAAAAGGTTACAAAGACAACTTACATAGCAGATTCTCTGAAAAAGAATGTGAATAGAAAGTAGAAAAAGGTAGTGTTGATCACAGGATCAATGAGTTAGATTGTGAAGAAATAGCGTTTTCGTTACAAATAGAAAGAATGGGTGTTAAAGAAGTGAAGTGACAGAACAAGCACAAATAGAAATGAGTCAACACCCCCAAAAAACTTTTGGTTTAGAAAAAACTAGAAACATACCTGTTTTGTTGCTTTGCTTTGGCAAGTTGGTCTTTGTAGCGAGTGTACCAATCTTCCAGTTCTTTTTTGCCTTGCTCCTTCAGTTCAGCAATCTTGGTCTTTTCATCAGCGTCTTTCTCTTCGAGAGCTCTTTTGTGCTCTTCGCGCCACTTTTTAATAGATTCTGGCTCTTCGGTTGGTAAAATGGGCATACTGATTCCTGAATCATTCTTATTGCCATTTAACGACAAATCTGATATGCCATTTGACAAATCGTTATTTACGTCGCCATTTGTCGGTTCACCAAAGTCGGCATGACTGTCGCCATTTACTTCTAAAGTTAGAGTAAAAAGTGATTTAGAAGGGCAGCAAAAAGCAAACACGTTGTCATACCGGTGTTAGGATTAGCTTGAGTATCCTTGTTGAAAGCAAAATCTTCGTCGAGATCGCCCAGAGCCGACTGCTCGCGTGCAAGAAAGTCAGCAGCCGGATCATCAGTAGAAGCTGGCGCCGCAGAGCCACCAAAATCGGCGAATTCGGCCATACTAATAGTAGGTTTATACTGCACAATAAGGAAAGCAAAGTATGAATGATCGAGTAGCAAATAGACTGGGCGTTACCTGGGTAAAATACTCTTGTCGCAAATGGCAATGTGCTCTCGGGTAGTGAGATATATTGTCGGATGACAAACTAGTAGTGACTGGCAAAAAGAGCAAACGTGTGAGCGTAAATAAATGACAGCAGATCCAGTGGGGGCTCATCCCATCAACACAGAAGACGCACGTTCATAGACAACAGGACAGGCGCAGTCTGTACAGTGCTAGTAATTCGGCAGAAAAACGGTCATGCCAGCGGTGCAGTTACAGGCAGAGAGAAGCGGAATATTCCACGTGTACGGCAGGGGAACTTTCCAAGTCTAAAAAGCGCTGTTTATCACAAGAATATATAAATTCGAAGTGAAATTACAAATGAAAAACAATTCTGATAACCAGATTAGTTTTAGATAACAGCGCGGTAGATGGCGGGTAGTATGCATTTTGAACTTGGCCGAACTAATGCCCTTTATTCACTCACATTCATTTTTTACCATCGCTAATTAAGGTGCAAGTGTTCGATCAGTCAGATGGCTTCAAGTCATCTCACAAACTTATTTCCCAGCCAAAACATCTATGCACAGTGTGAGAGGCGTTTAATTAGGCTAATGATTAGTAGAGCAGTGTGTTCAGCGAGAGAAAACTCGATCAATTGATTGCCCGGTAAACTGTTTTTCACTTCTGCAGTAAATCCAATCTAAAAAGATCTTTGCCCGTGCGACGCGTGTCTTGAGAGACCGCCAAGGGCACCATTTAGTTGAGTGTGAGAAAAGGCAACCAGTGGTGTCGGCAAAAACTGGTCAATATGGAAATTGTTGCTTGTTTCCTTGTTATGTTCAACTCTGAACTCTGCACCCAAATGAGAGCCTTTTTGATGCTTATCAGGACGCTGCCACTGTTTTGGGACGGGTAGTGGCAAGTGGTGGTACCGGTCAGTGGAAACAATGTGTGTCGTGATGGTGGGAAGTGAGTGTGGCAGAGAGTTCTGGTGACGACGATGTCAGTGGAGTCGTGCAGAGTGGGCAGCAGGCGTCAGTGCACAGAGGCACTTCAATGGCCGGTAATTACCGCTCGAGGATGATGATGGTGCAGCTTCGCTGACTGACTGACTGACTGACTGCCGTCGACGACGACTTGCCCAGCAGTTGTCCACTGTGCCAGCCTCACCATTACCATTACCATTACCATTACCTGCTACTGTATGCCTCGGCCAATTGGCCAGTGGCGCCAACCCGAGCCACTCTTTCTCCTCCTGACAGATCGTGGAAAAGTCATTCTCCACTCAAGTCACTGGATTATGCATAGGAAATGCGGACAGAAGAGGACCTAGGAAAACAATCTAAATCTAAACGAGTGGAGACTATCTTTAGTTTGGCAGCACTGACAATCAAGCGGCATTTTGGCGAGCACTTTAGTACTGACCACAGTGCACACCACCACCATCAGCACAACAGCCACTTTGATTCAAGTCAGAAGACATTTACCTAATTAGACAAAGACAAGTATCAGCTGCATGGTGGAGAAGTGATCGGCAGTGTATTGACATCATCCTCGATAATCACCACTCGTTTTTTCCTCACAGTCAAGTCCCTCTCTCTCTCTCTCTCTTTTCTCTTTTCCCATTGACCTCCTCTTTTTCTCTTTTCATTCTTCTCCTGTGCATGATTAATCGGCAGCCAAATTGGATTACTCTGTCGTCTATTTCAGGCCTATTAATTCGCAGCACTAGTCTCATTGATGCGATCATGCGATGACGCCAAATGGCAAAACAATTGCACTCGGCACGAAGCACATTGCGGAAAGGCAGACACTGGCTACCACTGAAGTAGCCACTCGGTCAGTCAGTCAGCCATTCCTCTCTGACATGGACACTGAGTTGGACTGTTCTCGCACCAAACCGTCATGTGCCCGGACCCACTAATTAAGGACCGATGAGTGCCATGCTTCTTCTTCTCCGGCTGCTCATCGAGTTCCCTCCGCAAGAGAAGACGTCGCTGTTGACGTGTTTGCTAACAAAGCGATCAATTAATTGATCGCGCGTATGCAGGTAAACATGGCCACTGGCACTGGTGCCGCTAATCGGATTTGCTGCTCTGTCAAATGTCTAATGTTTCCTAATGGAGCATCAGGAGGAAACACTGCCAGGCGGCAGGCACTGACAGTCGAGAAAAGAGTCGCCTTGACCAAGGGCAAGCAGAGTGCTGCTGCGGATTCGCCGAGGTGTGCCCTGTGTGCATCGGTGAATCAGTTTGCTGCCGCGAGAGGCTTAATGGCCAGTGCCACAGTGCCGAATATGGCATCCAGTGCTCATTGGCCTGATTAGCCCAGTGAAACCCATTCTCTGACAGGCAGCACACCAACTCACTGCCCACTCTGCCCACCGGACAGATGAGAGGGAGAGAGACGACACAATGAAAGTCATAATCGGGCTAATTTAGATAGATGAAGGAGAACAGTGCACCATCACCTTAATTGAATTGTGATGAATGACTGCGCTCAGAGAAAAAGAAGAAAGGAGCACAGATGTGATCTATACAAACTAATTAATTAGACTGTAGTGCGTTCCGGTGCCCACGTAGTCAGACGGTGGTCCAGAGGTAGGCGGCAGGTATACTTTACAGCGGCCACTTTTTCAAGCTCAATGTCACGAGACACGACGATGACACACACTCACAAATTGAACTTGGCACTGTCGATGAAGGTGTCAAGCTGTGTGTGGATGACTGGCTTCACCACTGGCACGCATCAACACTGACACTGCCCTGTCTCCCTCATTCTCGTGACTCATCTCATCTCTCAGTGCTCGTGGTGACTTTGCACTGCAATGGCAGCCATTCACTTCTTTCAGTGTGATCGCTGTACAGCTCGAAAGGACAGTGCTTGTACTCCATTCCCACTCCTGCTTTCTGGATCTGCTCTCTGTGAGCTCTGCTGTTCACTGTCCTATCGACGGCTGATCACTGCTGGACAATTACAATTGGCGGTGCAGTCAGTCATGATGAGACCAGCAGTCGATTTGTACCATCGTCTCGCTTTGTGTCTTCTTTCTCTGATTGTCTATTTCGCTGATTGTCTCACCCACAGAGACAGTCTTTACCTCGCTCTCACTGAAAAGACGCCCCGACGTCAGAAAAGAGCGAGCGTGTAAGGCCTTCTGTCACATTCACCGTTGACCCTTTGTTGAGGGCACGCAGGTAATGACGGCCTTCTTTGGCGGACAGTCCGCCAGAGAGCAAACTTGAACAGACCAGAATAGAGCGCAGCAATTTGCGCTGACAAGCAATGCCACTCGATCAGCGCTATCACTGCACTGGATCACTGCACTACAGTCGCATCATCAAAAGTGGCAGTGGAATTCTGGGCAAACTGCCACTGCCAGAGCGCCTCTCCTTGAATCACTGCAGTGTGTCACAGTCCGTCAGTCCGTCTGATGACCAGCCTGCCAGAGTTGCCCGTCCGTCCACTGGTACCCTCCACTGTACAGAATATTGCATTTCTCCTTGCTTCTAGCCCGCTTTCAGACCACCTGGTTGCCCTGCAATGCCCACTGACGACAGTGTTTCGCTTCATTGATTGCTCATATTAAGTTTCGCCAGTGCTCTCCCCCCTGTCGGTGGTAGTGAACCAATTACAGTGTATTACCATTATCACTACTTCACGACGCATGGCGGCTGGAGTATTGCCTAAAGTGGACAATCCAAGCTGACGCCTGTGTGTGTGTGCAATCGTGCCAATCTCCAATCTCGATGTCATTTTACTTCGTGCGCACAATAGTGCCGGTGAAACAATGTCTCATGCAACAGGCACACTTGTTGCTCATTTTCGGTATGGCTCAACCCACTGGCTACAGGGAACTGTGTCATCTCATTTCTACTTTCCCGCACAGTCGAAGAAGACGGTCGGCGTTTGCTGGGAGACGGTCAACAAATTCAAAGTTCTCGGCGCCTGATCACGCCCTAGTGCAGTGGCGTCTGCGCAGACTGCGCACTGCAGCAGCGGTAGTGGCAACAGCTGCGAGAGAGGCGCTCTGACAAAACAGTGCGCTGAGAGTAGAGCGCTCGCCGAGAGAGTACATCACAACAGAGGAGAGAGAGAGAGAAAGAGAAGAGCAGACAGTCGATGAGCGAGGCGAAAAAGTGACTTGTCCACTGCACTTCAGCTTACCTCCAAGAGCGGCGATGGCCTCCTCATCTCCGTCGAAAACATCNGTGACTTGTCCACTGCACTTCAGCTTACCTCCAAGAGCGGCGATGGCCTCCTCATCTCCGTCGAAAACATCACCTGGAAAGCTCTCCTACCTGCCAAGTGACGTCGAAGAGGACCCGGGAATCATCGACTTTGACGAGCCGCAGTACGATTTCCTTGATAAGGATGAGTTCTACCTATGCGAGGACATCTTCGTCGACGATCCCTCTGCCTACGACGAGGCTAACCGGTGGTTGAACTCCGTCTTTGAGCCTAAAGACCACGATCCCTACTTTGATGTTCAGCAGCCGGTGAATTCGACTCCAGGTAGGTAACTTTGGCAATCGGTTTTAGAGCATGCTCAGTTCTGAACCCATCTCTTTCGTCACGCCAGTAAATGGGTTTAGTCGCGAAAACTACTTGTCAAACAATGGAGGACGATTTAACACTGTGACTCGTAGAAAGAATGAAAATGTAGAAAATGAAGCTCCCAAAGCTCCGACGGTAGTGCCCCAGATAGGTCCTCGTTTCGGTACAATAACCAAGCGAACATTGAAAGGTTTCAACATTAATAGTCAAAACAGCTCGTCACCCTTTGCTAACAACAACAACAACAGTAGTAGTGGCTCTCTGACAAATGGTAGCAACGGATCCACTAGCACCACAGCACCAACTCATTCTTCTCGCATTCCCGCGATGCCGAAATCTACATCAGTCAATAGGTAAATAACTCGCAATCTAACAACTGCAAGCTTAAACTTATATCCGTGCTCAATATACTTTAGATCCGCAATCCCTGTACCAGGAGCAATTCCACAACCAACCGGATACTGCAACAACGAGACACTGGTAAAAAGAAGGCTTGAATCGGTGTTCCCTGGAGCTACAAGTAAACTTGGCTCACAAGCGCATCAACACTTGGTTGCCAACAACTTTGTCGATGATAACTCTTGGCAAAATGATTGTTTTTAGTTAACTCGTTAAATATGTTATACTTCTCGTGATACTCTCTGTATACTCAGTGAAAGAATTCGCTCACCTTCAAGTACCACCAACAACTCGTCTCAATGATCAGCAATAAACCCTTTCAAGTGCAACACAACACAACTTATTCGCAGCAACTGTCATTTTGATCGATGCTCTAGTCAAGTAGTTTCGCCTTTAATTCATCTCAACTTTCAGAAAACTATGTCGACGCTTGAAACCGCTCTTCGGAACACTGCTCAAACTGAACAAACCGAACTTGTTAACTCGGTGCCTTCTTCTTCTCGTCCGTCCACAACATTTTTTATATCTTTTTTGTTAAAAAGTATCCATTGACTCACTTTGATATTAGGATGTTTTACATCTATTATTTAATAGATAAACATCTGTTGGCAGCCAACAACAGTCGACATGTATACGGAAAAACCAAATAAAGTCACTAACAATTGTTTCGTTACATTTAGAGTTTTATAATAGTATTCATTCCAGGGCACACATCAAAGGCAAAAACCGAAACAACAAAAACAGCAAACATCAACAGGTAAACACATATTCTACAAGTAAAAATGTAATGATCAGCAACTTCAAATAAAACAACAAGCACTTTGGTTGTTTGCCTGTTTACAATTGAGGCAATCTGTGCACAGTGTACTGCACTGTCCTTTTGGTAAAATAAGACTTCCGTAAACTTAGAGACAAGAATTGACTACACTTGAAAAGAGCAGACCAGGTCCGTGTGTTTAGTTGTCTTCAGGAACTGTGAGGTAGTTCGTGTGGTTGCTGCTGCTATGATTGTTTACTGTGGAGGATTGTAGAGGCTTGGCACTTAACAGACGCATGTAGTCTTCTCGAATATAAGTCCAATCGATCCGAGAGAATGCAATGTCCAAGGGCATTGGAATGCGCTCAGGGCAATCCGCGAACTGCTTGAGTCTATCAACGCACGCTTCCTCCGTTTCATAGAGATAGTGCGCTAGAGACAGAGAGGGAGAATAAGAATAGATTTAGCAATTTAAGTGAGACACAAACAGCAGACAGCTAATTAAACTTCACAGATCATAAAAGAAGAAAAAGTATCATAGCAGAACAGTAGTACTGCATCTAATTAAAGTACTGTTCCTAACAATGCACTGTCAGCACAATGGTGAATCGAGAGTTATTGAGTATAAGGCACAGTGCGTTTGGGAGATAATTACAAAAAGAATTCAAAGAATGAATAATTCTGCAAACAAGTGAAAAAGACGTACCTGGGAATAGTTCAGGATAAACTAGACGAGCGGGCAAAAGTGGATAGCAACCGCAATAAGCTGCTTCAAGCCTGATAATATTGAACAAAAAGAAAAATGTTTGCTTAGCTAATCAAGTAATGCATTGTGCTCCACTATTTACATTGAGACGCCAAAAAATTCATGGATTGCAGTTGACAAGGCGACGTTGGCAGTGGATAGTATTTGGTAGTAGTCGTCCTTTGATGTACAAAATCCCCAATTGATAATCTCATCGGCAAGCTTCTTCTTGGCTTCATCGAAAATAGCTAGGAGAAAACAAATAAAATTAGCTCCATGGATAGCTAACAAAATGGCGAAAAATGTTACCAGGAACTTGCGAGAATGATTCGCCCAGAACCGAAACTTTAAAGCGGATATTGTGCTCTTTAAGCGTGTACAAAATTCGAAAAAGAGATTCGGGATTCTTGTCGTGTTCCCTGCGTCGCGAAGAGACAGTATAATAGAGCCATAACGAATAAAAAATGAAACTCATACCATCGATGAGGCCAAATGATATGCAATACAGTCTTTTCTCTGGTCTGTGTGTGCATCAGCGGAACGTGACAAAATTTGATCGGAAAGTAGAGCACGCGAGACTTTTCCTTAATTGATCGAATCAAATCGTCCAGATTCGGCGGACGATAGTCAGGCATCATTTTGAGAAACGGTTTAATAGCAAGCAGAAAAGAGTCTCGATTGTAGTTTGAGTTGAACACCACCTGATCGGCGACTAGGCTAGAGGTAGAGCAGATGAAATTCAATTGACGATCAATAGTACCAAGTGCGAGCTTACCAAGAAAGAAACTGATTGTAACCGTACTGAAAATCGCGTTCTTTTTGCGCTTGAATCGGATAAACTAGTTGGTTCTCATGAAAGTAGATTATCTTGATGGGAATCTTTGCTAAATCCGGTCGCAAAGACAGAAATTCGCTGAGATTGAGCACTGAACTGGCGAAGAGAATGTCGAACTTTGTGTCCTCTCGGTCCACCACCTGTGACATGTACAGTGCACTGGTTCGTGCCCTCCAGTGCCACTTTTTCGCCTTCATATCGTACAACTTGAACTCAAAAGTGGGCCATCGTGCTGATGGCTTCTTTCGAGCTTCATTTGGCAGTGTTTCGCCCAGAACATCATCGTAGTTGACAGAGAGCGGCAATAAGGTCTCAATGAACTGCTTGTGGCTTCCACCATAGTAAGGTTCTACAATTAATATTCTCTGCAGCTTTGACATGGTACAGCAGGGTTGGCGCCACCAGGCCGCCGCTTGTTTGTTTTGATTATTTCCGCACACGGGCACACTTCTCTGCCGGTGAGTGATCCCAGATGGCTGGTGAAAGAAGAGATGAGGATGCTACTGGTGACGAGAGTTGAATGAAATGACGAGAAGCTGGTGGCGATCATGACACTGAGACACTAGCACCGAAGGATGAAGGCGACTTAGCAGGCGGTGATTTTTCTTCACTTTAATTATCACACCTAAGAAGAATAAGAAGCTCAGACTGAGACAATGGCAAATGGATAGAGAAGGCGCTCTAGTAGAGAAAGAGAGAGAAAGAGATCTAAGGCACAGAGAATGGCGCGGGTAAAAGTTGATCTACGCTATAAATAGTGACAATTGGCCCGCACGAGCGACGAGCCATAACCAGCTGGCAGCTGTTGTACAGCAGTGAGCGAACAAAAGTAGACCCTAAATCTTGGCAAGGCTAAAGTTCTTCAACTCGCCACAAATCGCTGCACTGTAACAGATCCTGCTTTGAATAATAATCGCATAATATATAATGCTACTAGTAAATACTTCGACGCATAGATTCTGCTTCTCTTGAACACTAAACTTGACACTGCAAAATGTATCGACCACTGTTTTGTTGGCAGGCGAAAATGAGTCAAATACAAAAGTTATTCAATTTAGATTGAGATATGGTCTAATTCAAAAAATTTTAAATCAAAGCAATCTAAATATTTTTAAACCAAAAGTGAAACACTGAACACAACTCTTATCTGGTGATTTGACAACCAGTGAGTATTACCTTGAAATAAATATACGTCAAAATGCTAAGACAGTGAGCGATTGAGATCTTAAGGCATGAGCAATTGTGTGTGTGTTCCAATTGGATCAGTGGATGCTTTTTTGTTTACAAGACATTTTTCTGGACAAAATAGCCCGGCAGCTAAATGCACTTTAACGGTGAATGGTTCTAAAAATAAACTTTTTTGCCTAGGCTTGAAAAAAGTTATTATTTTTGCCGTCTTTATTTGTGTTGTAAAGGTTACAAAACTCTCCCGCTCATTTTAATTCAAGGGACAGCATTTTTCCTTTTGTTTACGTCTGCGTTCTTCGCTCAGCACTGCTGAGTCAGCAGTGACGACTCCGTACAGGGACAGTTCAGCTTAACTTTTTTCAGAACAGGCAAAATTAGTCTTTTCTTTCGCTGGTTTGCTCCTGCAAACAATAAACCGTGTCAGATGAGCTGATGTCTTACCTTCCAATCTTTCAAAACCATTTTTTTCTACAAGTGTCTTTGCAATGGTTTTAAGTGAATCTGAAAATCTTTCAGGGCCGTCTTCGGATGAGCCGCCTGTAAGTTCTCCGACAATACCTCCTGTGGTTTCGGATCAACAACCTTCAACGTCTCATTCTAGGTTTGTAAACTTAATAAAAATGCTATTTTCTTTTCCAGCCAATCTTTAGCAAATGAATATTTATAGTTTATCTATTTGTACTTCTGACTTGGTTCCTCTAGTGACCTCAGTACTCTAATATCCTGTTTGTTTACTTTTTTTATTTTGTTTTTAGTTTACCTCTTACTGGACGTACCACCTTCACTAAAACCGAAATAACTCAGATTCTAAGTGGCGACTTTATGAAGAACTTTTACATCAAAGCTGTTGAAGAGATGAAAAAAATCACCGGATTTGATCGTAAAAAGAATTACACTGGCGCTGAACTTGACGCAATGTTTACAACGTTGTCTTTGTGCATTGAAAATTATCATTCAAAATGTCTTGAAAACTCATTGCAGATAAATGATCAAAATTTTCTAACTTTATCTGCTTTTCAATCCACTTCAGGTTCTACTTTTTCACCCACCGAAGCAGGAACAGTTGAAAAGTTGCCTGACAACTCTGTGACCCTTGAAAACGGTGATTCAAACGATCCAAATGAGTCAACCGCCATTGATGTGGACGCTATAGAACTAGATGTTGAAGATTGTTCTAGTGCAGACTCCAATTCAAGTCGTTCAAAAGATGATGACAGGACAACTACCTCTAACAATAACAATGAAGTGGTAAACACTAATTTAAGTAAAACTAAAAACAAGGACAACATCAACATTCCAGATATTGAAAAAGAATTAGATTTGCTGAAAGATAAAAATAATCTTGAAGATTCAAACTCAGGTGATTCTGACTCGGAGACTTCCAAAACTTCTGAAATAAGACTTAAAAAGAATTCTGACGAAAAAGACGATTCATCAAAAGTTAACGATAAAGACAACCCTGGTTTATTCACTAATGATGGTGAAAATTCACCAGAAACTGGACCTGCTGAGGATGAAGCGAACAACCATGATGAGTCAGTTTGGTCTTATAACTATTGCGCAGACGTTGAAGAGCTATTTGAAACTTGCGTGAATGAAGGTGAAAACGGCAACCTAAACATAAGCTCTGAAGAAGACAATAATGGCGATATTGATGACGATGATGATTCTTCGGATAATTCCAACAACAGCATCAACGACGACGAAATGGGAGAGCAAATTTCAGAGGACGAGATCGATGATTTTGCACCGAAAAAGACTGATAAAAAACTTGAAGAATTAAAAAAGCTTGTTAAAGACAACAACAAGCTGTTAAACTCTTCTGACGATGACTCTGATGTCGGTGTGAAAAAGAAAAACGTGAATAATTTAGTCACCAAAGTGAATAGTGGCGAAAGCGAAGAAGAAGATGAGGAAAACGTAACTTTTCGTAGAAAGAGCAAAAAACATCTTTTCAACAGCGATGACGATGACAGTGGCAAAGATAATGAACAAACTAATGAAAGTTCTAGTGATTCTAGCGATGATTTTTGCGGTGTCAAAATCAAAAAGCGCAAACGAAAGCGTGTGGTAAGTTTTTTTCCATTTAACTGTTATTTCAACTTATTAATATTCACTATCTTTTCTTTACAAAGGTTCGAATGTGTGACAATGAAAGTGACACCTCACGAAGCAGTGGAAGCGATACAGAATCTCTAAACAAATCGCGCAAAAAGTTAAAAAAGATTTTAAGTCCAGATCGTCGAACTAGGGACGCAGAAAAGAATGAGCTCGAACGTCGTAAACGCATCGAAGAGAAACAAAAGCTTTACAATCAATTGATAGTGCAGGAAAACCAGGCACAAAGCGAACAAGTGAATCAAGTGGTGCTGGATTTCGACAAAGAATCAAAGAAAATTTTAGTGGAAGTCAATAAGGAGTTTGTTAAGCACCTGAAACCTCACCAAGTCGAAGGTATCAAGTTTCTTTTTAATTGCACCATTGAGTCAGTGGAGCGCCTAACAAAGCACAACCACAGCTCAGGCTGTATTCTCGCTCATACGATGGGTTTGGGGAAAACCTTTCAAGTAATCTCCTTTCTGCACACCATTATGACCAACCCTCTCATCAAAGACAGTATTAAGTGCGTTCTCATTATCGTCCCTTTGAACGTCATTCAAAATTGGGCCAACGAGTTTGAGAAGTGGTTTGATGAATGTGGCATCACGAAGGAGATTGAAGTGTACAAGGACTTCTACAATGATAAAACGTCCGACGCTAGAAAGGCAACGCTGAAACGGTGGAAGCAAAGCGGAGGGATTCTCCTTTGCACCAACTCTTTATTCAACAATTGTCTGAAGAAGAGCAAAAATGCAAAGCAATCGTGCATCAGTAAGATCAAAGAGTACCTTCTTAACCCAGGCCCAGATATGGTAATCATCGACGAAGGACATTTACTCAAAAATGAACAAGGAGTTTTCAATAAGAATTTATCGCAAATAGCAACCCTCCGACGGGTGATTCTGACAGGCACACCTCTGCAGAACAATCTTGGGGAATACTATACTATGGTCAGGTAGGTTATTGGGTTTAGGATGTTTTCAAGAAGACTTTATAACTACTCATTTTTTATTTTTATTTCTAGTTTTGTCAAACCGAATCTTCTCGGTGATAAAAGGGAGTTTAAGAACCGATTTGAAAATCCAATCAAAAACGGCCAGAACTGTGACTCCACTGAGTACGATGTGAAAATGATGAAAAAGCGCGTTCATATTCTCTTTAAGCTGCTAAAGGAGTGTATTCATCGATGCGACTACAATGTTCTGGTTCCGTATTTACAGCCAAAGTTTGAATACGTTCTAAGTCTTCGACTAACTGAATTGCAAGAAAAGCTGTACAAATATTATCTGGAAAACCTGACTGGAAATGGTGAAATGTTTCAACGTCTATTTGCCGATTTCACTCGTTTGAGCTACATTTGGAATCACCCTGCGCTACTTCCGCAACATTACAAACGAAAGCGTAGTGCAGAGGATCAGGAAGATGACGATGATGATGATGATGCGAACTCAATGGACGACTTTATCGTGGATGGTTCTTCATCCGAGTCAGTGGCTGAGTCTGACGATTCAGATACATTGATAAAAAAGGAAGAAAATATGTCAGTGAGCTCTAAGGAAGAGTTTCCTGAAATAGATTCTGACATTGAAATTGTTTTTGAAAAGCAAGTCAAGAAAGTTGCTGCAAATGGGTCTATTACCTCTGAACTAGCTGAAAATGAGCAAGATGTAGAAGATGAGTCCACGTGGTTTGAGAAGTTTATGCCCGAAAACTTGCTTGACTTAAATCTCAGTGCCAAGTTTATTCTCTTGTTTACTATTTTAGAGAAATGTGAAATTATTGGCGACAAAATTCTCATATTTTCTCAAAGTCTTAACACTCTCAATTTGATTGAAGATTTTCTGAAAATCAAAATGAAAGAATACGTTGATAAGTACGGACCAATGGATGATGAAGAATCCTACGAAAATGTGGTCGCCCAAACCGGTGGTGTCTCTCATAGCTGGGAAAGAAATAGAGACTACTTTCGAATTGATGGCAATGTTAACAGCAACCTTCGAACCAAAATTATGGAGCATTTCAACGATCCGGGAAAGCACAGAGCTCGCCTTTTGCTCATATCAACCAAAGCAGGTGGCATTGGAATCAATCTGGTCGGTGCCAATCGTTGTGTCATTTTTGATGCTTCGTGGAATCCGGCTAACGATATGCAAGCTATTTTTCGAATCTTTCGCTATGGACAGCTTAAACCTGTTTATGTGTATCGTTTCACTGCAAGTGGTACGTATTGCTGTTTCAATTGGTTGTGTTTTTATTAATATTTACTTTTCTTCAAATGCACACTAAACCCTAGGCACAATGGAAAGCAAAATCTACGAAAGACAAATACTCAAGCAATCACTGTCTCATCGTGTCATTGACGAGCAGCAGATACAAAGGCACTTTAAGGCTAAAGAAGCAAATGAACTTTATCAGTACCATGGCGCAGATAAATGTCGAAAAGTACCTAAAGTTCCAAAAGATAATTTGCTAGCAGATGTTTATCAAGCCAACAAAGATCTCATTCTTAATTGTCACGAACACGATTCTCTACTGGAGAACTGCCCAGAAGAAGGACTCACCGAAGAAGAACGTAAATTAGCCTGGGCAGAATACGAAAACGAAAAAGACAAGGGACTTTATCCAGAACCAAGCCCAGCATTTATTAATAATTTTCCAACTGCAGAATTTAATGCACAAATGAACCAACAATATCACGATTTTCAACGCCAGATGTTTGGGCAACAGTTTTCCCAAAATGCAAACTTTCCAACTACATCTTTCACTCCACAAGCACACCATTCCCGAATGCCATCATTGTACGAGCAACAGTTTGCTTACCGACGACAGCAGCACGCCCAACAACAACAACAACAACAACAACAAAATTACCATCAGTTTCCACACCAGCTGCCTCAAAATCCTCCACAAAATCCGCACCAACAGCACCATCGGTTTCAGCATCAGCTTCCGAATCGGCAACAGTATGAGAATCAGCATCGCCAGCAGCAACAGTCACTGCTACAGCAGAAGCAGCTGCTGCTGCATCAACAAAATCAACAAAATACGAGTCGTCAAAGCGGAAGCTTAAGCAAAGCAAGCAAGTCAATAAATTTTGAAATGTTTATGATTGATGCTGAGGCAGAAAACAAAGTCAACATAATTTATGATTGGAACTGTAACCTGAATCTCCCAAAAGTTGTCGAGTATAAGGATATGCCTTTTGACGCTTTTAATCAAAGCTTCAGACAAACTATACCATTTGAGTATGATGGCGAAAATACCAAATATCTTCAGTACATGTACTGTTATTTGGATAAACTTATTACAATTGCAAACATCTATAAGGGACAATTACAGGTAAGTTTGAAACTCTTTGAAATACTCTGTTTACTATAAAATGTTTTTTAGAATCTCTCGAGAAAGGATTCTACAGTTCAGCCAACATTATTTACAGTGGTGAAATCTCTCGAATCTTTAAAAAGGCTTTTTCAAGAGGTAATTTTTTAAACTAAAGTTTAACTAAATTATTTTTTACTAACAACGTGGACTTTTTTTCAGTTTCACACGTATCGAGGTAAAGTCGAAGAAAAAAGTAAACCACATATATCGAATGCGTTTCTGCAACACAGAAATTTTCCACATCAACAACGTCTGCCCCAACGTAGCCGGTCAAACGTTAAACAGATCGAAGAATGTATCACTATTTCCGATGATGATGAACCAAAGTGAAAGTGATTTGCAACAAAAAGTTCACACAAATTTTTTTAAAATAATTTTTTTGTAACTTCTCACCTTCTTACACACATAAATTGATTTTTAACCATTATCATTTAGTTTAGTAGTCGTTTGAGGAGGAGGTTCGTGGAGGAGATTGCCTCCACATGGTTTTGGTTACCCTGCGAGAAAAGTACTCTGTGAGCAGCATTCGTACGGTGCCCTGAAGCTTTGGTGGGCGCTATATAGCTTGCCA